AAACCTGGAATGCTAACCTTAAAAACGACATGCTTTCTCTTAACCGTTTGGGCTCTACTCCGGATATAAAATCTGAAGAGATGAGTTTGCTGGAAGAGCAAAATATAGAATAATTCAATAAATTTTGTTTTGTTCATAAGAGAAGAACTTGAAGGTTAGATGAACTGCAAATCGTGGATCACTATAGGTTGACTAACATGTTTCGTATTTCTGGGTTTTCTTTAAGGCTATTTGAAATATGTCTTTGAAAAAATGAAAATTCAATTCTTTTTAGTAGATCAAACTTTGGCTGATGTGATGAAGATGGTAGATACCCAATGGATGGATCGGTTTGTTCCTCGAGAGTATAAGAAATCAGTTCCAGGTTCGTACTCTTAAATAGGCTTTTTTTTCCACTACGCACTTCCCTGTCTTTCTAGACAATGGCGATGAAGCCAACGTATCCAAAGACAACAACTATGGTTACAGTGAACAAGGCATGAAGGACTTGGATGAGGTACTTGTACTCATACTTGATGCCACTTATCTGTCTTTATCCCTTCTCCCGACTAAATGACCTCGTAAAGTAGCCGACATTGGTATGCATTACAGTAATGAAGCAAGTGTACTTAGTCGATCGACGATATCCGGGCTAATATCTGTTTTGTTTGTGTAAGTAACGCGCATTCGGACCCCTTTCTTCGGGCAGCTACAGAGGTTTTGGGAAGCATCTTCTATGCAAATAAGGGCATTGTGGGAAGCTTTGACACTGCCGACATACGTTGGCCAGAAGCAAGAAGTTGAAAGACCAATCAAACTTGGGACCCAAACTTGGCCCAGATGAAATCAGTAAGGAAATATCCCACTAAATAAAAATGAAGAGCATCCTATTTAGGTCGGAGGTCTCGTAGGAGGCGGAGATTCTGAGTTGCTCGGAATTTTACGACCATATTACTCAGTCGTTGATATGTCAGCCAATGGGAACAAGCAGGTAGATTCTAAAAATTTCCTTTTTGAAAAATTACTGTTTTTGGGTCTTTTCCGAAAGTCGAAAAGTCACGTTTACATAGAGATTTACATTTATAGTTTTATATACAGCATGTATTTCTGATAATGTGTGATTGCACACAACATCTCAAAAA